GAGAGAGAGAGGGGGGGGGGGAGGAATACCTTGAAAACGGTATTAAATTCAGAATAATGAATGATTGTAAATAGACTGAAAATACGACTTATTTTATAGTGAAATCGTTTTACACGTGTTATATGAAGATTTACGTGGTGGCATTTCATTAAATTTAAAACAAAAAAAGTTCAAATTTATATTCAAGAAGAATGTTTCATTACGCATGCAATGCTCTTTACAATTCTAACGCTTCGTTTCTGCAGAAATCTAAATATCAATGCTAATTACAGAATTGATTCTTCGAGAAATAAGTAAAGAAAGTATTTCTATGTCGTAACTATGTGAACAAGTATTACTTAAGTTCAAGTACATTTGCGCGGGTAATGCGCCTCTCGTGTCCACGATGCTAGAAATCAGCCCAAGATCTCGAATGGAAAAAGAATTGGCCGATCGTGTAGGTTAATTAACTTGATAATCAAAAGTAAGATATCGTGAAATTGAAAATAATACGATATATCGCTGGTAAAAAATACGCTATCTGATTGATGTCGATGACCTATTTATCTTATCGGCGCATTCTAAATTTTCGTTGCATTAGCTTAGCCAAGAAAATTGTCATAATTTGCATATGTGCATTTTTATCCATAAATTAAGCGCGATAAAAAATTACGTTGACCTCGTGTAGACTTACAATCGTCATTCTGTTATCGCATTGCGCACATATTTACCTAAACGCGCTATCCAAGTCTGTCACAAATGATGTCTCAATGGAAGGGTTCATTGCCATAATTAATTTTAAAATTGCCATTGAATAATAATATGAACTTTAATGTAACTGATAAAAAGATATTGTTGTCAAACTATATAGCAATAATTCTGTGTAGATTATGTTTTAATTAATAAAATTTTAATTGAAAATTTATTTATACATCAGTGATATCATTTGTATCACCATTGAATATTTACATACGTGTTAAAAAAGAGTTGCGTGAAATTTCTTTAAGAATGGAAATGTCACAATTGTCCGGCGCTAATTTGTCCTTTCAAAATATATGTTTAAATATATTATATAAACACAAAAATCTAAGAGACATGTATTTCTTTTTAAATTGTTTATACATTTTTTTGTACCTATTAGTTTTAAGTTTTATAAGGGGTAAAACATCTCTTGAAAGTCAGCCGCGGAATTTCATTTTAAGCAAATGAAGCGAAAAGCGTTAGATCATAAAAAAAATATTTCAGACAAAAATTGTATGTTGCTATCTGAATTTTAGGCAAGATTGCGTTTTAGGACCGAAAATTAAATCGGCGCGCACCTAACGTGGACAGGAAGATATTATTATAACCAACAGCCGATTAGAATCGGTGGGGGTGGTGGAGAGTCTCTAACAGGTTGATTTATTTTTACTGGATTAAACTTTTTTTTAGAGATTTTAGAAAGTTTAAAATGTAAAAATCAATGTTTTATTTTAATCTGTACTAATAAAATTATTAATTTCACTGCAAAGTCAAATTAATCTCAAATGTATTTAATTGCAATGATGTTCGGTAAAAGTACAGCAATCTTATAAAAAAAGAGAACTGCAGATTAAAGTTGACGAGGATAGTGCAGAATTTCTACAGATTGATTTGCTTTTATCGAATAAATGTTCGATAAAAGCGGAGCAAAAGACTTAATAGGAATGAATAAGAAAAGATTTAGTCACAGCAAAGTTCGAATTTCATTTCTGAAATACTCGTATATTGTATCGGATAATATCGTTGAATAGCCAAAAAAAGTGTAACACGTAGTTGTTAAGTAAATGTCTATATTAATTATTCTATAACTTATTGCGGTTATTATTTTTTTGAAAAATGTCTTAATATAAAACAAAAAGAAAACCAAACGTGAGTTGTGTCATTTCTTAAAATACCAATGAAGTAATTATCTTACAAAGTATTGCATACAAAATTTTACATCTAAAAATTAAACTTGTATTTTAAACTGTAAAATTTTTATTTAAAACATTTTTTCTCTAATATGTTTTGTGTTGTATGGAAAAATCAACATATTACTTAAAATAAACTAGTTTCACAAATAAAATTGAATAATCAAAATTCTACTGCAAAACAGGTTGTTTCTAGATATTATACTAGGTACAATAAATTAAATGTGATCAAACACTGCAATGCTAGCTGCATTTTGCATCAATATCCTGTAATTTCTACTTACAGCTGCAAAATCTTCCATAAGCGACATTCACAGACTGTTTTTCCAGGACAAACTGTTCAAGATTTTCATTTTTTTTTCTACACGCCTCTCTTTATATAGTACAATACTATCATTAAGGTTGACCCTTCAGATAAGAAGAATCCAATGTACTAGGTGTTGCATCGTCATACAGGTCAGTACGACAAGTTGCCTATTCGAGCAGGCGCTTTAGATCGCTCACAACTGCATAGACTTCGGCGGCACAGTCAGTAGCATATCTTCCTTTCAATAAAGTTTGCAGCGTATTAATTTGTAATAATGTTATTTACGTTTTCCCAGTCGATTATGTTTATAAGTTGTAATCAAAGTTTATACGGTGATCGTACGGTGAAAACGTAAATTTGTTTAAACTTACTTTTTCGCGATCAATGTCAGACGACGAAAGCCAAGGATACATATTTGTAGATGCTGCAATTAAAGATTTGAAAATACCCTGTCATATAAAGCGGAAAGACAACGGAGCGTCACATTAAAATTGTCACCAAGGCAGCGTATCGTGTATCCACAAGCAAACGCGATGGAATGACATTTTCTATAATCGAATCTCGGCTTAAAAAGCTGAGAACTGAAACAAAAAAAAGATTTTTAACAATAAATTATTTTTAAGAAACAATTGTTATGTATACCATAATAAACCAATGATTAATTAAAATAAAATAAAATTGAAAAAAAATGTTTTTCGATTTTTTAGGAGGAATAGATATTCATTAAAAAATTTCTGCTTGTCACCAAAATTCATCACTTTTTACGCCCTTTCTGAAAATATATGAACAACAGGGGGTCAGAAATCGCTTCATCCTAATGCATATATATAAAATTACACGCGCGCGCGCGCGCACACCACACACATACACACACACACACACACACACACATACACCGTTATCTCTTCTCCAGACGTATGGATCTGGAATAACGGAACTTTCAGTATTTATAGAAATTTACTACCAATACACTGGATAAAAAACGAAGGAATATTATTCCTTCTAAATTAACTAAAAATAGCCAATTTGTAGCAACATTGTTTTAATCTGGTCGTAAAAACTCAGTTGTCAGATAGTCATCAGCGCTGCTCTCATGGTCGAACATCCATTGAACAATTGGCGAACTTCTTCTTGTTGGATTACACGCAATAGTCCGTCCAGGACGTGCTCATATCTTTTTCTTCCTTATATTAAGTAATAATTAGAGACATATTTGTGGCATTAACGTTGACATTGGTAACTACAAACTGAGAAATTGACATTAGAACATATGCATATTGATTTACTTCAAAAAAAGTATGTAATTATGTTAGTTTATCTTACTTGATAAATTAATATATGTCAATCACACAGTATGTTAATATATTACTCAATCATGTGGAAATGACAGCTACCATTTTGTGTTAAAATTGGTTTGCGCGGGAAAAAAAGGAAACTGAAAAATTATCATATCAGGGTTGATCAAGGTAATCATGCAGTTATAAGAGATAAAAAGGCATGCATGTGTATTTTGCGCAAATAGCTAAACATTAATATAAATTTCTTTACAGTATGTATATCGAGCAAATAATATTAAACATTTCAAAATTCCTGCGCCTTTTATTAAAAAAAAAAAAGATTAATTAAAGCGTGCATCACAAGACCTGCAGACAATCTATGATTTAATTAAGAACTATAAAGTTACCCAGAAATAATTAACAATTCAAATGTAATAGGCTAATGGGAATCGGCGCGGTAATTATTGCTCATATTTAATTTCAATAAATTATACAAGTTTATCTCGAGTATATAAATTTATTTCCATACGTTTCGGCCATCCTTCTGGTCATCCTCAGTGGTACATAATCAATCAAAGGATCGGTATTAAATATCATATTTCCATCGTGTTTTAATTTACAAAATAACTGCGGATAACATGTGTTGATTCAGTATGTTAAAAAGAGAAGAAAGAATATGAGATTACAAATTCAAAAATAAACACTCACCTATTTAGGCACACAAATAAAATTGTTAATAAGTGTCTCACAGTCATTTAAATTCTTGATTCTATGATTTCTTACACAAATATAAACCGGAATTTCTTGCTAAACGAGTTACTCAACGTGCTAATGCCACAAGCAGATGCTACTGAAATCTTGCCGCGTATACATTATTGCGATCACATAATACTTATATAAGTTATGTACGTAAACATCGCAACACGTCAGTCCATAGAATCGAAAGGCAAATTAAACATTATAAAGGCAAATTATCATAAGCATTATAAATACATCTGAAAGAAAAACAGCTCCAGCAAAGCATGCCAAGCCTCTGAATTGTTCGATACACCTTTATTACTACTTGGAAGGAAAATATTGTAAAGGAAAGAAAGTGCTTTTAATAAGGTATTAAATTTGTTAATAATTATAAATCATATTCAATTTAGGCACGTAAAGTAACAATTTACATAAATCATATGTGTAGAAGTTAAAAGTCATATTCATATTAGTGATAAATAAGGGTTCCAATAAACATGTATGTGTACATACGTACATATAAATAAGCTGTTGTAAGTCGTTTCTTGCAATCCGATGTCGAAATGCGCACACAGCAAATCTCGCAAATGTGGAGAATCCCACAATTGATTCAGCTTTAAATCAGGACATATGCAATAATCACGCCACAATTATTGCAACCCCTGAGATTCGCTGTCAATAACTTTCGACATTCCGCAATATCCTCGGCTTTATCGTATGTAAATTGATGAAACCAAGGATTAGACGAAATGTTAAATAACAACTGAGTGCGAGTACGTTAGTGTAGAATCTGGAATGCAAAAGAAGAAACTTGTATTAATAGTGAGAATAAACCATTTATTCTAAACTACAATTGGTCGGCGTTCTCTTTACAATCACCCGCTCTGCAATCACAACAAAGCCATTATAAGCTTCCATTTAATTTCGTTTATACCAATTTACATAACAGTTTACATAACAATTATGATTAGATTTATGCGTACAAATTGAATGACTAAAATTAATAAACACAAAAGAGAAAATTTATATCATACCTAATTCAGTTATCAATTAATGCTAATTATCAAGACAGATTGATAATTAGCAAATTTGATAATTATCACATTATCTTGATTTGGTAATTTTAAGATATTTATAAGACGTGACAAGTGTCTGGCAAAATTCGTCAAGTCAAAATAAGACGTTTAAAGGTTTACAATTTTTGTTTTCATAAAATTTGTCTTATTTCAAATTTTATCCAAACACTTATTACGTCTTTTCTGTCTCTCTCTCCCTCTCTCTCTCTCTCTCTCTCTCTCTCTCTCCCTCTCTATCTTTCTTGATCAGAGAATAAAAATTAAAATATGAAATTATATAAGTAATTTATAAGTAAAGCTTACTAATCTTGCTTGACATGATTAGTTTATGACTAGCTGTTTAGAAAATAATTATAATTTTATCAATCTATTTACTAAAAAATATCTTATTGTCTGACCAAT